ACAGATGGAGGAGTTTATTACTGTGTGGCCACTAATGATCTGGGTAATCAGACATCAGCAGAGATTAACATGACTGTTAAAGGCCCATTGCCTAAAGAGGAAAGTATGTGCTCCCATCATTTTTTAAAAACTTTTTTGTATCTATTATATCTTTCATTTAAAAAAAACTACTTCAAGCAGTAACGAAGCCCAGCCTGAATCAATATGTCAACATAAAATCATTTTTTGTTTTTGTTACTTCATGATTTCTGTAGATTGTGCTTCAACAGACAAACTGTGGCAACATATTGGCGTAATTATTGGGATCATTTTACTCTTAATCTTACTCTGCTTGATAATCTTTGTTTGGTAAGTATCACACATGAAAGTAGAAAACACATACTGTTAGTGTCAAAAATATTTTAGCTGCAAATTAAAATATCTGTTTTCCAATAGATTAACTTTATTCACAATTATATTTAGTAAAGTTAATTTAACAGCCTCTTGTGTCTTCCAGCTGGTTAAAATCAAAGCATCAAAGACAACAACAGACTCAGGTAAGCGAATTAAAACAAAACAAAACAAAAATCTATCTGCAGGATAACTGACTGTTCTAGTGATTATTTACAGTAGCATCTTTGTCAGAGCAGTCTGATCATTTAATGTAACAAAAAAATAACAGAGTCAGCTTAAGGAGTATTCTATTATTTTAATTCCATAGATTCAAATAAATGAAAAGCAGGTTGTTGAAGAACCAGGAAGTAAAACAGAGGAAGTTGAAGAAAACATCCATTATAGTGAGATTAACATTTCCAAGCATCAAGCATCCTCTGACTCAGTGCAGGACAGAAGACAGGAGCAGGATACAGAGTACGCACAGGTGCAAATCAGCAAGCCAGAAAACAACTTAACACAGAGTCCTCATGTCCAGGAGGAACTCTACAGTGAGGTGAAGAAAATTTAAAATGTTGTAAAATGACATTACTTCAGCATCGACATACACACATGGAGCCTTTCTGTGGGTCATTTTCACAGTTCAGTGATGACAAAGAAACAACACCCTGCAACTTTTCATGTTCTGTTTTCATTTTCTTGTGTTCATGAAAAATCTGAATAAGGAGAAGTTTCAGCACTTCAATAAGGAACTGGTTTCACATGTCAGTTCTGTAAAACTGAAAATCAAAACCTACACATGCTGCAGTTGAGTTTTTTTCTGCACTCTGCACTCAACACTTGTGTCAAGCTCACGTTTCCCAGTCTATGCCTCTCTTTTATTTTGACATTCTTGTGTTCCATGTCCAGTGTGTTTCGTTTTGCTTCCCTTGTGTCATCGTGTTTATTTGTATTGGCTGTTTCCACTTCCCCCATTATCCCTCTGTGTATTTCAATCTTCTGTCTCCCTTTGTTTATCTGTTTTTATTTGTGTCATGTCACTGGAATTCTCAAGTCTCATCATGTTCATGTTTCTCAAGTCTAGTCCTAGTTCACCCAGTATAGGTAATAGTTTAGTTTTCAGCTTTGTGCGCCTTTGCCATTTGCTTTTGTATTTTTTCACCAGCCGGCTCGCTTTTTGTTAAAGAGAGGACAGCTGATGTCATTATGCATCGGACTGTCAGGGTTCATATGCCTTTTTCAGGATCAAATTCAAGCACGTTCAGCACTTTCAACGTCCCTTTTCAAGCTTTTCCAGCCCCCCCCCTATTAAAATGCATGTTTCAATTTGCATCACCTCAGTAAGACCATTTAAACAAATCATCCTAGGTGAACTTTGTTCCTTTGTTCCCCTTTTGTTAAAAATGCACCACACAAAAATACTGCAAAAGGAAA